CCAGGTTGAGGTTGTTAACGTGTGCTAACGAAACTCTCTCGTATGAACTACGACGAAAAAAAGGCTGATATTTTCACTGTTTCAATGAATCGGTGATAGAAAAAAACGAACGATTGGTGCGACGAAAAATTATGTCAGCAAGAGTCCAGGAGGTGGTATCAGTTTCGTTCAGGATAAATTGAAATACTGGCCGAATAATGATTCTCCTTTTTCAATGGTTTTAACGGTACTGCACACTCGTATTCATACCATTCGAGACTCTGTTCCCTTTTCACCATCGTTTTAGAATCCCTCTGTGCCGAGTAGAAAAAAATGTGCGATGTTGCTGTTTGCGCATTTCCACGTATTCACAAAATGTCTACTCGTATATCTTTTAATTGCGATTTTTTTTTAATTTACTCGGGAATATAATTTTCACTTAGCAAAATTTTAATAGGAACAAAATCTCCTCGTCGAAACTGTTTAATATTAAAAGATAATTATCGCGACAAGAAATTTTTATGAAACAAATATCGCGATAGAGATGATGTTTTGATGATTTTGGGACGTAGAGTGTACGTTTTATCGTATAATATTTTTTACACCTGAAAGGATTTTGTTTGTACAGCATAGTAGTGTTTATGTTTGGTCGTGTTTATATTAATTAATATAATCCGGTGCGTGGTGTACTGCGGCTTTTGCGCGGTCGCACCATCGCGCAGAAAAGCTAATTCCGAATACTCGGAAAAGAGAGGCACTTTTTGACTAGGACATGTAACAAAAATGCAGAAATATATATCGGTGCGTTGATTACAATATAAACGCTTCGCTCAGCGCGTAAGATACGCCTGTTACGTCCGCCATTGTTTGAACTCCATATAATTAATTAATCATGACGTTATGCGCGGTATCACAAATATTTGAGATAAAAATGCATAACTGTATGCATCGAGCATCGTGATTAATGGCATGAACGCTCGTTATACGTGTGCGTCGAGAGAGTAGCTGAAGCAAAATTTCATTGCAATTGTAAACAGTGAAAAATACGGAAATATTTATTAACAGAAAGTAACAATTGCGTAAATAGAGGAAGGTAAAATTATATAAATATCCAAATAAAACAAAGTTGAAACAATTTAAGAGAGTATTTAAAGACCCATATATATATATATATATA